GCATCTCCATCTCCGATGCCGTGCTCATTGTCGCTTGTTCCAGACGCTTCTTCCGTCTGTTGGGTGGGGATTGTTGCAGCACGGCGACTGTGACACGGTGACTGCCGATGTGAAGCTGCAAGATATCCTCACGAGTCTTCGGAGTGATTTCTGTACTTGGCAACAGAGGAATAGGTTGGTTTTCTATAGAAGAATAAACCCTATATTCTTATTCTGCTTTTACCTACTTTCTTAGCTGAATTTACTATTATTCGATTATTTATAATATTCATCATACTTTATATATTCATATAAAGATTAAGATTATTGCAGCCTAAGTTGTTTTGATTGTTCATATTCACAATATATATAGTTTTTTTCATGGGAATTGGATTTGGTAGTGTCTCAATTAGATTTTAATATATAAAATTAATTTAATTGGAATAGTTTTTTCAAATATGTTATTAGCATATCTGTTATCTCCATTGTATGATGAAAGAGGTATTGCACCAAAATTTTTTTTTTGATAAGTGAAAGAGGTATTGCACCAATATCGCACCAATCTTGTTTAAGACCTCACAATCCCTGCCAAAGAACTTACTGGATATGACAATGGAGGAGTCAGATTGGGCATCGCTATATGATTCTGGACAATTTGGTTTCGCTTTTTGAATATGTTCGATTTGGTGCGGTTTGCAAATCATGGCAGTCTATGGCAATGGATAACAAAGTTAAATTCGTTCAAAATAAGTGTTCCACACAAGTTCCATTCTTGATGGTGCCACGAAAGGCGTAGTCTATGCAGCATCACTCATAATAAGCTATATGATTTTTAGTTACAGGTACCTTACAAAAAGAGGTTTTATGGTTCCTCACATGGTTGGCTATTTACGGTGGAAGAATCCTTAGGCGTAACTCTAATGAATCCATTCTCTGGCGCTACTATTGAGCTTCCTCCAATTATGGACCTCTCAGAATTCGAAGGTCCTCATCAGAATGGCAACGAAGGTGTTGAAGCTGAGTTTGAAGTTGTAAAGGTCATATTGTCAGACTCTGCTTCGTCTCCTAATGACTATATTGTTACCGCATATGCGAAATGAGGGTTGGAAATAACATGGAATCGTAATTCTTGATGGTTAAAGTGTCCTTGTAATGCAATCCAGCTCTCATCTATTGTGCTGTCTATATTCCTTCGGCCAAGAATTAAGACCACATTTTTTATATTTGATTTGCTGGGTTGCGCCAAGTAGCCTTGCTTGATTGCTAGTTACATGGTATGGCAATTTCTTGAGGTTGCCAGTTTATAATTAAGTTTGGTCAAATGTGGGTTCCTTATCATGATGCAATGTGGATTCCTTTTCATTTACTAAAGAATTGATTGACATTTTATGAAGGAAGCCGATGTAGTTCTTTGATTTTTTAATTCCCTGGCATGTCTTGAATTTACTCTTGAGGTCTCGATCATAATAATAAATCTGAGTTTGGTTGAAAGTAAATCTATTGGTGATCAATGTTTAGCATTTTATTGAGCTCTCGATTAATGAGTAGTCGTGTTCACTTGTGATGCCAAAACTGATTCCCCTGGATATGTTTTTATATGTATGGCTGTTACAGTAGTTCCTCAAAGCATGTGAAGATTGCTTATATATTCTTTATTAAAATGCTTTGCCAAATTTATATATAATATCTCTGTTACCGATGCATTGGGTTACTGGTTTAGATGTAAAGATTTCATTTCAGTGCAGACCAAAACCGAACAACTTGTCTTTCCACCTTCCTAACACATGTTTAGTGGTTTTTGCGGCTGTAACTCCAGTAATCATAATTTTTTTTTTCTTACACATATTTTCTCTTTCTTTAAATTAGTCTCTCATCCCTTGTATGTCCTGGATCTGCTAGTAACTCTTTTCCAAAAACTTTTTATTGCATGAAAGATGGTTGCTAGATTGAGTGATTCCTGCAGTGAGAATTTTCATCCTGGATAATTGCTGTAACGCAAGAGATTTACTATAAGCCTGACTTGTTCAATGAATTCTGAGTTTTGCTTTCATTTATTGTTCTCTTTGCAGGCAAGAATCTTAGCACTGAATTCATCATATATCCTCACTGCAAGTTAATGAGGAAATGATGGCAGATGTATATAGGAGTGTGAACGGAACTTCCGGCTCGAGAGACCCCTTAATTGGCTAACTCACTATTGACTAACTCATTTAGGAAAGCTGGAAGCACAGAGTGGGACTAATCGGCATCGGTCTAACTAAACCACTGCAGGAGCCCCTTTATTCCTGCCTTTTTCTCTTGCTGCTGACCGACACTCAAACTATTTTATTAGTTTTCCCCCACTTACCCCGAGTACTCTTCCGTGTAACTTATCTTTCCTGCACTACACCCCTCTCTCTCCCGTCTCTCTCTCACCACACACAAAGCTATTAAAGCCCAAAAATAACAATCATCTATCTCTTAGAATGTCTTTTTGACTCTATCTTCTCTCATAGATTACTCTTATTTCTCTCTTGCAGCCATTCTCTCTCCTCTCTCACTTCATAGCAAGAATAGAATTTTCATTGAAATACGTAGTCCTGTAACTGGAAAATCAATGTCAACTCTTCATTTCTCTCTCTACATATAAACATATTATACATATATAAATATATATGTGTATTAGAGATCATTTATCAACATGTACCGAACTCTGTTTCTCTCTCTCTCTCTTTAAAATATATTTGTCATACCTGTGCTTTTAAAGGCTAAAATTAATCAATGCATGTAGTCGATTATGAAGCATAAGCAGCTAGAGCTTGGATTGGAATCTAAAGTAGCTGTTGAAGCTCAACTATGTTTGATTGGGGTTCAACTATTGAAGTTTTCATCAAAGGATGTGTTCGATTTGCGCCGACTGATTTCCTGCAGGCAATAAGGCAAGAAAATTTGAGTTCCTGCGCATGATTTTCTATTTCTCTATTTGGTTGTTTTGAAATGAAATGAAAATTGTGCTTGATGATGTTTATGGTTTTTGTATGAACTCTTTGCATTTTAGGAGTTGAAAGAGAAAGATTGAGGAAAAAAAATGATTGATCTGGTTTTCCTTTATGTTTATTGTAATTTACACTGTCATACAGACATCTTTCATTTAATGTATGTAGTATAAACAAGTGCAACATTTAGGATTTATCAATCTCAGAAGAAAATTTATCTCATCATCCATGACTTTACGACATGTGTTTTGATGCTTTGGAATAATGCCAAGGACTTTCAGAAGTTATTTCGATGGTGAGGATAATAGACATTTTGTTAGGATAGAATCTTGTACATAGAGTTCACCTCCTTTTCTCCTGGTAAATAGAATTTGATAATAGTTAGAAGCATACACCAAGGAAGCTTAGTGCCCTGTAATCGACATGATTTGCTGACAAGTAATGTAGGTCATAACATAACCATTGGTTTGGCATGGTTTCTAAATCTTGTTTTGTTGCACATATTTGGCAGAATTTTCCGGTTTTGTATCTAATGGAAGAAAAATTAGAACATGTTGAGTGACCTCAAAAGGTGCCCTGTGGACTAACGCAGTCTATTTTCGGATTTGGTCTAGTAATGCCCTTCTTTTTGTCTGTTTTAGTTACCAGGGTAAGTTTGTCTGCACTGGTCAAATGCCTCTGTATATGATTCTTATTGCAGACAATTCTGCACAATTATGCAGATCATAAACACACTGTTGTGAAGTCAGTTTATAACAAAGTAATCTGATCAGCTGTGTTTCACAAAGTAGGTGTTCTTACCTGATGTTGATTTTTGAAAGCATAGATTGTTAGTGATAAATCTTAAATGAAGTTGGTTAAGTGATTCTTATTTTGGTGTAAACTTGATTCAACAATTATTGTATATTTGGGTGAATAAGTTTTGATCTCTCTGTTGGACTATACGCAAGTCTCCATTTATTGGATTCTGCAATTGCATGTTGGCATGAGTTTTAGCCTTTAATTACCAATGGCAATAATCATTAGCAGTATGCTTAATACAGTTACTGAATCCACTAATTTAAGCTTTATGTGGTGATGTTAATTTCATAACTTTTCCTTAATTGGTAAATTAGATAAAAAAAGGAAAAAAATTAAGTACTTGTGACCATTTAAAATTTAACTATATAGGTTCCTCCTCCTCTGCAACTTAGCAGAGGCCTAAACTAAAATTTCAAAATGCAAACTATCTTTCAAAAATTTATAAACTCAAATAGTGAAGTGGTGATTTAGTACAACAACATTTCTTTGCATTTCAGTGAGTCCTTTGATCTGTTTAATGCTTAAAAAACAACTGAGTCCTTTCCTCACTATTCAGAAGGTGTTCTAGTTTTTTGAGTTGAAAATAGAAAAGAAGAGTTGATCTTTTCCCTTATTTTAAACTCCAACCTTTGTGTATAGTCTTATTCTGCTTTTACCTACTTTGTTAGCTGAATTTACTATTATTTGGTCATGTATTCATATTCATATGATGTATAACCCTAATATATCTCCTTTTCAAGTGATTGGAGTGATCTACTTGTGTGTGTATATATATATTCCGGAACTTATATATACATACTATATATATATATATATATATATATATATAATTCATATAATTCCTGATTAGTATATTTTCATATAAAGATTAAATAATATTGCAGCCTTGAGGTATTTTTTTTTTTTATTGTTCATATTCACAATATATATAGTTTTTATGGGATTTGGATTGGGTAGTGGCTCAATTAAATTTTAATATTGAAAATTAATTTTATTAGAATAGTTTTTTCGAATTTGTTAGTAGCAAATCTATTATCTTCAGTGTATGATGAAAGCAGTATTGCACCAATGACTAATTCATACTATATCCAGCAAGTTTTATGTTTTTGTTTTTTTGTGAATCAATTAGTTTAAAATTGTAAACCCATTCGAATTGAGTATTGAGTATTGTAGATATAATGTATTGTGATTATATAAATTCTTTGATTGACATTGCAGTGCTATTAGCGAGATAAACATGATGAGTCAGATTGGGCATCCCTGCCAAAGAACTTATCGGATATGATTCTGGACAAGTTGGTTTCGTTTCTGAATATGTTCGATTTGGTGCGGTTTGCAAACCATGGCAGTGTGTGGCAATGGACAACAAACTTAAATTCATTCAAAATAAGTTTTTTAGACAAGTTCCATTCTTGATGGTGCCTTCGAAAGATAATAGCAATGAAAGACGTAGTCTATATAGCATCACTCGTAATAAGCTATATGATTTTCAGTTATGGGTGCCTTATAAAAAGAGGCTTTCTGGTTCCTTACATGGTTGGTTGTTTACTGTGGAAGAATCCTTGGGCGTAACTCTAATGAATCCGTTTTCTGGTGCTACCATTGAGCTTCCTCCAATAATGGACTACTTAGAATTCGAACCTCCTCGTCAAAATGGCGGTGATAGTGACGGAGAGATCTTATACAAGATTGATGCAGTTCCTCCTGAGGTTGAAGTTGCATAGGCTACATTGTTAGTTGACCCTGCTTTGTATCCTAATCTATATTGTTACCGCCATCTATAGTTGTCGTTCTAACTTGGCATTTATTTGGGTAGGAGATGAAGTTTGGACTTACATTAGATAAAAAGAGATTTCAGGTTTTCAAGTTGCTCGTAGAGCAATTTGAGCAGGGTTGGCCTATGTGGGTTGAAGTGAACAACTTGGGTGTAGACATCCTGTTTTGGGGAAATAACCATTCCATTTGTGTTTCAGCTTCCAAATGGCCCGAATGTCAGGCGAATTCAATATTCTACACAGAAGATTATAATATCATTGTATACTATCCCGCATCTGGGTGCCGCGACGTTGGTATCTTCAACATAGAGAATGGAAGCTTTGGGACCCATTACATACTTGATCCTTCACATAACCATATGCCACCTTCAATTTGGATTGTACAAACTGTTTTAGGAAAATGAGTATTAGACTTACTTTGTTTTTGGATTGTCTTTTGGTCAAATCTAATTTAATTTAGTTTTTTTTTTGCGCTTATCATTTTGTGGTAAAGTAATCTATTTTTATCTCTTGTTGTATCAAAATGTGAGATCAAGCTTGCAAGACCTTTAATTAAATATTATTGTGGTTGTTTCTCATTTCTTTATTTGTATTATAAATATTTCCTGAGCTAGAATATATATATATATATATATATATATATATATATATATATATATATATATATATATTTTTTTTCTTTTCTTTAGACCACATTTTTCTTATCTTTGATCTGCTGGGTTGCAGCCAAGTAGCCTTGCTTGCTAGTTACATGGTATGGCAATTTCTTGAGGTTGCCAGAGTATAATTAAGTATAGTCAAATGTGGATTCCTTTTCATGTACTAAAGAATTGGATGACATTCATGAAGGAAGCTTATGTAGTTGTTTGAATTTTTTATATTTTAAATTCCCTGACATGTCTTGATTTACTCTTGAGGGCTCGATCATAATAGTGGATCTGAGTTTGGCTTAATGTAAATCTATTGCTGATGAATGAATAGCTTATTATTGAGCTACTCGGTTAACTAGTAGTCTTCACTTATGATGCTAAAACTGATCAGCAGCAGATAATTTTTTTGATTCCCCTGTGTAGGTTTTATTTGTATATCTGTCACAGTAGTTCTTTAAAGCATGTGTAGATTAAAATGCTTTGCCAAATTTATATATATATTCTTTAGATTTAGGTTACAGGTTTAGATGATTAGATCTAATTTCAGTGCACAACTTAGTACTTCTGATATCATTCTGTTAATGGTGAAAGCTGCCGAAGCCAAAACCGAACGACTTGTTTAACACATGTTTAGTGGTTTTTGAAGCTGTAGCTTCAGTAATCAAAATTTTTTTTTTTTTTGTTTCTTACAAATGTTTTCTCTTTCTTTGAATTAGTCCCTCATTCTCTTGTATGTCCCAGATCTGCTACGAACTCTTTTCCAAAAACTTTTTCGTGCATGTGCATGTGTGGTTTGCTAGATTGAGTGGTTCCTACAAGTATGTATATTTTCTTTTGTCAGTACTATGAGCCTGACTTTATAATGAATTCTGAGTTTTGCTCTTATCTATTGTTCTCTTTGCAGGCAAGAATCTTAGCATTGAATTCATCATATATTCTTACTGCAAGTTAATGAGGAAATGATGGTGGATGTATAGCAGCGGTATAAATAAACCGCTGCAGGAGCCCCTTTATGCCAGCCTTTTTCTCTTAACTGCTGCCTAAGAGATATTGTGATCGCTGCTCAAACTATTTTATTAATTTCCCCCCAGTTACCCGAAGTAATCTTCCGTGAAACTTATCTTTCCTACTCTATGCCCGTCTCTCCTCTCTCTCGCACTACACACAAAACTGTTCAAGCCCAAAAAAATTGATAGAACAATCATCGATCTCTGAGAATGCCTCTCTGACTCTATCTTCTCTCATAGATTACTCGCGTTTCTCTCTTGCAGTCACCTTCTCTCTAGCTCTCTCTCTCTTCTCTCACTTCATAGCAAGAATACAGAATTTTCATTGAAATACGTAGTCCAGCCCTTTAACTGGAAAATCAATGTCAACACTTTCTTTCTCTCTCTACATATAAACATATTATACATATATAAATATATGTGTATTAGAGCTAATTTATCAGCATGTACCGAACTCTTGCTTAAAAAAATATTTGCCATACCTATGCTGTTAGGACTAAAATTAATCATTGCATGTAGTCGATTATGAAGCATAAGCACCTATAGGAGCTCAAATCAGAGTCTAAAGCAGCTATTGAAGCTCAACTGTGTTTGATTGGGGCTCAGCTATGGAAGTTCTTTCGATTTGGGCCGACTGATTTCCCCGCGGACAATAAGGTGAGAAAATTTGGTTGTTTTGAAATGAAATAGAAATTGTGCTAGATGTTGTTTATGGTTTTTGTATTAACTCTTTGCATTTGAAGGGTTGAGAGAGAGAGATTGTGGGAAAAAAAATTGATTGATCTAGTTTTCCTTTATGTTTATCGTAATTTACACTACATATTTCATTTAATGTAGTATAGGTTGGATAGCAGAGTTATTTAAATAAGGGCAACATTGATCATTCAATTTTATAGCTTTAGTGTGAATATGGTTATCTTAGTAGTTATCAATCTGAGAATAAAATTTCTCTCATCTGTCATCTTACATGACTTTACGACACTAGTGTTTTGATGCTTTGGAATAATGCCATGGAGTTCACCTCCTTTTCTCCTGGTAAATAGAATTTGTTAAAAGTTAGAAGCATACACCAAGGAAGCTTAGTGACCTGCAATCGACATGCTGACAAGTAATACAGGTCATAACATAACCATTGGTTTGGCATGACAGAGTTTTCCAGTTTTGTATCTAATAAAAGAAAAGTTAGAACTTGTTGAGTAGCCTTAAAAGGTGTCCTGTGGACTAACGCAGCGTATTTTCGGATTTGGTTTAGTATTTTCGAAGTTATTCCGATGGTGAGTAAAAGAAGGAAAAATATTAAGTGCTTGTGACCATTTAAATTTAAGTATATAGATTTTTCCTCCCCTGCAATTTAGCAGAGGCCTAAACTGAAATTTCAAAATGCGAACTCTCTCTCAAAAATTTATAAACTCAAATAGTGAAATGGTCATGTGGTACAACATTTCTTTAAATTTCAGTTAGTCCATTGATCTGTTTAATGCTTAAAAAACAATTGAGTCCTTTCCTCACTATAGTGATAGACGAATTTCAGTAAGGCCTATAGTGATTAACGTATTTTTTATTATTCAAATTACTTTTGTGGGTTGGGCTACACACGCACGGTGGGCTAGGGTTTAGATTTTCCTTGGGGGTAGACCTTAGAAAAGCACATTGGCGCATGAGTAACTAGGCTTGATATATACGATGCCGTTTGGTAGAATATCAACAACAAACGATGGTGTCTCCAAGCATTTAATAACCTAATATATAATCAAACTTTTCTCGAGCACGACTGGGGCTGCTATAGTTTTTAGGGTTTGCGCTTCGACGTTCTTAAACCCTAATCGCAAGAGAACCAGATCTTGTCGTGCAAAAATGGTGAATCCTGACAACTCTCTCTGTCTTATTTTTTCTGTTCTTTTTTCGTAGTCTGTATATTTTTCATCAATCTTTTTTTCTAGTGTTTGGTGTGTCGATGACATTTCTCAAACTTGTCACAGTTTGTTACCTTCAGCGTATGATGAAAGAGCCTTACTGGGTTGCGCCAGCCGCCAAGTAGCCTTGCTGGATTGGTAGTTACATGGTAGTTTCTTGAGGTTGCCTGTTGATAATTAAGTTTGGTCAAATGTGGATTCCTCTTCATGATCAAATGTGGAATCTTTTTCATGTACTAAAGAATTGGATGACATTCATGAAGGAAACCTATGTAGTTCTTTGGGTTTTTTATTTTTTATTTTTTAAATTCCCTGGCATGTCTTGAATTTACTCTTGAGGGCTTGATAATAATGGATCTGAGTGTGGTTGAAAGTAAGTCTATTGCTAATCAATGTTTGAGTTCGGTTGAATGTAAATCTATTGCTGATCAATGTTTAGCATATTATCGAGCGATTGATTAATGAGTAGTCGTGTTCACTTGTGATGCCAAAACTGATTCCCCTGTTTTTTTTTTTTTTGTTTTTTTTTGTATGGCTGTCACAATAGTTCTTTAAAGCATGTGAAGATTGCTTAGATATTCTTTATTAAAATGCTTTGCCAAATTTATATATAATATCTCAGTTACCGATGCGTTCTGTTAATGATGAAAGCTGCACAGGCCAAAACCGAACAACTTGAGTAACCACCTTCCTAACAAATGATTAGTGGTTTTTCAGGCTGTATCTCCAATAATCAATTATTATTATTATTTATTTATTGCACATGTTTTCTCTTTCTTTAAATTAGTCCCTCATCCCTTGTATGTCCTGGATCTGCTAGTAACTCTTTTCCAAAAACTTTTCCGTGCATGAAAGATAGTGTTGTGCATGTGTGGTTGCTAGATTGAGTGATTCCTGCAGTGAGAATTTTCATCCAGCGACGTGGATAATTGCTGTAACACAAGAAATTTACTATGAGCCTGACTTGTTTAATAAATTCTGAGTTTTACTTTCATTTATTGTTCTCTTTGCATAAAGAATCTTAGCACTGAATTCATCACATATCCTCACTGCAAGTTAATGAGGAAATGATGGCGGATGTATAGTAGCGATCTAAATAAACTGCTGCAGGAGCCTGACTTATTCCAAGGGATCCCTTCATTGAACGGAGATGGTGCAGGAGTGATGGACTTCCATTGAATTTGAAACATTAAGTACAAGATATGATGATGAGTTTGTTTCGGTTCAGAAATAGGGAGAAGTGCTGCTGCTGTTGGCGCAAGAAAAGAAATCTATGTAGTTTGAAGAATTCACTGGGCTTTCACAACTCACAAAATATATATAATCATAAGGATTATATAAACGGTAGAAAGTGAACCTGTCCGGAGGGTATTTTCCACGAACAGAGCACTGATCCTTGTTTATTTGGAAATATACCACTCTTATGCTTCGATTTTCATAAGAGATCTCTTGGACATAGAATTTATATCCATTCAAGTCTAGAGTTGTGTGATTGTTCTCACAATCCAGTTGGTGGTGAACGTCACCGCAGCTACGAGGATGGCCTTTCAAGTGAAAAGGGTAGCTGATGTTACCAATGTCTCCACAAGAAAGGGAGCACTGTTTTCTCACTATTACTTGGGCAATATAAGCTTCAGGAAAAAGAGCAACTACAAGAGCCATAAGCCCAACTATACTACTAAATGCTCTTGACATCATATATATATATATATATATATATATATGTGTATAATATGTGTGTGTGTAAATTCTTGCTTGTGGGTATTTGTATATGGCTGAGACAGACAAAGGATGAGATCAAAGACTGGTAGCGAGTTGGATGAAGATGAAGAAGATGGAATATTATTATATTCTATTACCTAGTGTAGCGCCAGGGTTTACTTATTAACAATAGACAGACAAAGGATGAGATCAAAGATGAAGATGAAGAAGATGGAATATTACAAAGATGAAGATGAAGAAGATGGAATATTATTATATTCTATTACCTACATATTGTTAATAAGTAAACCCTGGCGCTACACTAGGTAATAGAATATAATAATATTCCATCTTCTTCATCTTCATCCAACTCGCTACCAGTCTTTGATCTCATCCTTTGTCTGTCTCAGCCATATACAAATACCCACAAGCAAGAATTTACACACACACATATTATACACATATATATATATATATATATATATATGATGTCAAGAGCATTTAGTAGTATAGTTGGGCTTATGGCTCTTGTAGTTGCTCTTTTTCCTGAAGCTTATATTGCCCAAGTAATAGTGAGAAAACAGTGCTCCCTTTCTTGTGGAGACATTGGTAACATCAGCTACCCTTTTCACTTGAAAGGCCATCCTCGTAGCTGCGGTGACGTTCACCACCAACTGGATTGTGAGAACAATCACACAACTCTAGACTTGAATGGATATAAATTCTATGTCCAAGAGATCTCTTATGAAAATCGAAGCATAAGAGTGGTATATTTCCAAATAAACAAGGATCAGTGCTCTGTTCGTGGAAAATACCCTCCGGACAGGTTCACTTTCTACCGTTTATATAATCCTTATGATTATATATATTTTGTGAGTTGTGAAAGCCCAGTGAATTCTTCAAACTACATAGATTTCTTTTCTTGCGCCAACAGCAGCAGCACTTCTCCCTATTTCTGAACCGAAACAAACTCATCATCATATCTTGTACTTAATGTTTCAAATTCAATGGAAGTCCATCACTCCTGCACCATCATCCGCTCCTATCCATCTCCGTTCAATGAAGGGATCCCTTGGAACCTCATCTAGTCTTTTGAGCTGAAAATAGAAAAGTGAGACAAACTGTGTCTAGATTTTTTTATTGAGTGGCCTATTGTCATCTCCTTAACGTATGATGTTCAGTCTCATTATAAAGGTGTTGATGTGGTACCAAGTTAAGACTCAATATTAGTCGCTATCACTAGCAATGCCGGATGAAAATATGAAAGTATTGTAATATTTAGATGAATTCTTTTGCTAATATTCTAGCTTTCACAGTAATCTATTAGTAGCACAAAGAACACTATTGAGCTTGTGACTTTTTAGTAGTTTAGAGTTAAAATCATTTTTATTTGTTATTGATCTAGTTACTAATGCTTCATGTGTTCTTTGCATGACACTTATTTTTGTTGAGGTGTCTATGGTAGCAACTTATGCACTTCACAACCAAAGGGCCTCTAGCCCAATGGTACAATCTCTCTCTCCCCCAAACACCCCCACCCACACACACACACACTCCTTAGCCTGAACCAAAAGGGGAGGTTGAGAGTTTTAGTCCCACTAGGGACATATTACAGATAATGAGTGTGTTTTTGCTTTCCCAAAAAAAAAAAAAAAAAAAAAAAAAAAAAAAAAAAAAAAAAAAGAAGAGAAAATTATGCACTTCTTAAAATGGATGGCAGAACCATTGTTAGCTTTTATTTTTTATTTTTTTTTTTTTTTTTAATATTCTATTTTCTGGTTTCTTGAAGAATAGGATAACACGTGCCGAATGGTTGTCTAGAATTTTATTATGTTTTTCTATTTCCTTATGGTTTAATCTATATGTTAGGATGTGAGGCAGTTAAATTACTTTATATTACATATTTTGGAATAATTGCTCCCTAATTCAAATATTCTTTGAACTTGTTAGGAACTGAGTTTATATCATTTTGAAATTTAATGGAATAGACATCATGTTACCCTGTTAGTAGGGCTTCAATGTTTTTAGTTGTTTTGATCATTTGAGTGGACATCAAACTAAGAAGTTTCTAGATTAATCTCAGTAATTATCTTTTTAGTTTCTGCCAGTAACATGTCAACTAGCTACTTTTTTATATATTTTTTATATTTGTATTGATACATCATTATATTTTTTTTGCCATTTTGTAGACATTTTGTAGCAGCTTAAGCAGTCATAATTGCTGAGAATTCTCAAACTATATGGCAGCAGTTTATCTGCTGGAAAAACCCAGAATTAGCGTGGGATTTTCTAAAGCCGCTATTGAAGCTCAACTGTGTTCGGTTAGGGCTCAGCTAGTGAAGTTCTTAACAATGCATGTGTTCGGTTAGGGCTCAGCTATTGAAGTTCTTGTGGGGCGATAAGGTGAGAAAATTTGATCTCCTGCAGTTGATTTTCTATTTCTTTGTTTGGTTGTGAAATTAAATGGAAATTGTGCTATATGATTTTTATGGTTTTTGTAAGCGTTCTTTGCATTTTAAGAATTGAAAGAGAGAGAAAATAAATTTGGTTTCCCTGAAGTAAGCTAAATACCTTTCTTGTTTTTGGCTTGGTAGGGGTGGGAAATTTTGGTGAGATTTGCTTCAATATTTTAGGCAAACTGCTAAGATTCAACTATGATAAGTCAATTTTTGCTCAGGAAGTGAAGAAGCTGTACGCCGAGCAGTTTCAAGCCTATTGAACCTGTCATTTTTAAATCTTTCGAAGGGTATGTTGTGTTGTTGGAGCCTACTGTGTGCCAAAGTAACAAAACTTGCTACATAGCCAATTTGCGCTTCCTTGCCTTGGTATTAGAGTGGATTTTAATTCGTGAATTAAGAGGGATGTGTCCTTCATCTTACTGAAATAATAATAGGATAATAGTCCTTTTAATTCGTGAATTTTAATTCATGCTTGAGCATATAAACATGTATATTGTATAAAAATATGTGTGTATTAGAGCTGATTTAGCAGCATGTACAAAACCTCTTCTCTTAGGGCTCGTTTGGCAGCCACAGTTGCTTTGTGCTTTTACTTTGACCCGAAGCAGAATTAATGTTTTTGCATTTAGAGTGTGTTGAATACTGTTTTGAAACATGTTTGGTAACGTCTATTTGTTGTAAGATTTTAGAGAGCGAAAACATAAAAACATGTTTGGTAACGTCAATGCTTCGGAAGTAAAAATATGAAAATATGTTTGGTAACGTCCATGCTTCAGAAGCAAAAACAAAAAAACATGTTTGGTAACATCCATATTTCGGAAGCAAAAAAATGAAGCATGTTTGGTAATGTCACTATTGTGAAAATAGTAAAAACAAGTCATAAAAAATATGTTTGGTAACGTCAGTATTGTGAAAATATATTTTTGGCAATGACGGTTTGTATTCATATATTTTATTATTTAAAATTATTTATAATAATATGAAATTATGTAAATAATATAAAAAATTTGTAAAAATTTTATTCAACAACCAACAAAAATCCAATTTAAAGTTCAAACATTAAAATTTAGAATAGTTTGTAATATCAAATTATATTCCTATTTCAAAGTTTAGAATATTTGTATAAGTGGTATTACTTTTATTTTTAATAAATAGAGAAAATGAGAGAGAATTAAAAATTTGGAAAAAAAAAAATTAATTTCTTCAAAGCTAAAATGATGATATGTGTGTGACAGAGAGATAGAGAGTTGGATAAGGAGAAAAATACATCTTGAAACTTTTTTTATTTTTTTTTAATCCCTATTACTACTATTTAAAATATTTGAACCTATTTGTCACCTTCACAATAAAATAAGGCATTTTTTTGATAATATCACACCATGTATAAATCAAGATTTGGATAAGTGTAGTGTTGAAATAATTGCATCCAACCCATCATCTTAAGAATTGTCTTGGTGGGAAATGGGTGTAAAGAGCTTTAATGGAGAGAGAGAGAGAGAGAGAGAGAGAGAGAGAGAGAGATTGTGTGTGATTTTAGAGAGAGAGAGAGAGAGTCATATATCGTGGAGTGAAAAAGCTATTTCATTATTTTGGCTTCTCAGAGTAGCGCATGAACAATGTTAACAAAAGATGGCCATAAATCCTCCCTATAAACAATCCCAGGGAAAACACATCATCTAACCACAATAAAGTTACCATCAGTTTCCTGAAATAAAAGTTTCAAATTTCTTGTTGAACATTTACAATATACTACACTAAAACATTGCAATAAAAATTATGAAGTTATTGCAATAAAAATTACAGAAGGAAAAATAATATATATATATTTGTTTATATGGCAATTACAGAAGGACTGAAGGAGTATATGGTATATATCTATTTCCTAAACCTCAACTTGTAAACCAATCATATATATAGCGTCGATGAAGGCAAATTGGAAGGCCTTTTTCAGGACTTGGCATCATATCACCCATGATTTTCTCATTGTTGTACTCACTGTCCAGTACACCTGCAAATTCCATATCACATATACAAACATTAGAATTGGAATATATATATATATATATATATATATATAGGTTAGTGGACTATAATAACTGGAAAACAGAAAAAGAGTACAGAATTACAAATATTCATTTCGTTGACAGTTTTCTAAAAATAGTGTTCAGAAAACTGAATTAATTAAAAACAACAGTCGATTTCCAGAAAAGGGTTTTTCAAAATTCTTGAGAAGTATCTTCTAAAAAACAGGACAGAACAAATCAATATCTTCAATTTTCACTGCTATTATGCATATTAGAGATACAAAATAATCTCTCTCATTCATTCATGACCAACTATATGTATATCACGGCTATGTGCATGCAAGGAAACGTGGGATGCATTCACATGGTACCCAAAGAAGCAACAATCCCTAGAGTTAATAAAAGAACAAGTCGAATAATATATAATTCAAAATCAAAAGTAGAGAAAAAGCTAAAAAAAAAAAAAAGACAAAGTAGTTCAGAATTATCAGTGTATATATATACACACACACACACACAAATATGAATATGACACATCAAATTTGATGCAAAAAGATGGTAATGAGTACCTGATATTTGGACAAACCAGTCTGCCGAGACAACAAATGCTTGTCAGCTTCGCTTGGATACCTGATTCACCAAAAACACAGTATGACATAAGATCCTCTTCATTCAAAATTTATCAAGACAAACAGCATTAAACATTTCTTTTAGGACTCCTTACTATGTATTAATATTGTTCTTTAATTGATCACTACTATATACACACATATAAAGTATTAATAGTACGCTCTCATCATGAGTTTGTATACTCCACCCTGGATTCAATGATTGAGAGTACAAACTCACGTAAGAGTTCCTGCAATTGTGGGTCGTTACAAGAGGGGTAGATTAAGGACCTAGCAGTTGGGAAGCTAATTGTAAGCATTCTAAACATAGTTCACATCATATACATAAATATATATACACAAAACACAGACTTGTTTTGCAAACCCTATACATGTATATAGATTGTTAAGACTTTAAATACGGTTTTATATTTGATTCTTTTTTGCATCAAATAAAATATAATAAATAGAGTAAAATTCAATGATTAATTATGTACACCGATTTATATAGCATCAAACACTCATATATAGCAAGGCCACAGACCTGTACAAACCCAACAAGGGAGAACAATATATACAAACAAGAAGTAGGGAATGCCCCTGTAACCGACCCATGCACAATTCATTGAAGAATCACACCATTATAAAGATATCTAGGAATTATCTCAAAATCATCATTAATATATACAACCACTAATTTTTACCTCCAAAAACCTAATATAATAGCTCACTTGATGTTTACTTGGGCTCGACAAAGCCTAAGTGATATATGCAGCACTAAGTGTAAATAAGTACCAAAAGAGAAGGGAAAAAAGGAAGAAAGGCCATTAAAATTAATGTATGAAAAAGCTGAAATCCCGAACTCTACAAATTCAAAAGCAATGAAGAGAATGAGTTCACTATAAACCAAATTTTGTCACAACCATAAACTACTAAACATGCATGAAAGAAACCAAATTGGAAATATAGAATCACTGACTATTATCTTTTATTTTTGTTTATTCTTGGCAACTGACTGATCTCCATCAAATCTCCATCAAATAATCAGTAGGTAGACTGAAATCTTATGCAAAAAAATCATATCAAATTGCCAATCAACTCATTCAAGCACGAAATGATAACTTCAACAAAATTGAAATCTATAAGAAAAAATATTTATACAACATATCATTAAACTCATATAATCATAACATGTATATACGTATTTTCTTCTACAGGACTGAATGATGAGAGATTTTTCAAAAGCAAATCAAAAGCCTAAATTGCAAAACTCAATTATTTACAAAGTTTCAGAATTGAGAAGAACAAACAACAAATTGTGAAGTGATGAAGAAATATGATTCAAGATTTGAAACTTACAGAGATTTAAGGGCTTCAATCTATTGTTGATGGAGAAAATAACAGGTTCTGTGATGGCTGTGATACTTTTAAACACTTCGCTTCTTCGTATCTTAGGGAGTCTGAACAAGGGTAATCTAGTTTATGAGCCCCAATCCCATCCTTTCGCCTCACGAGATAGCATTTGAACACGGATCAACAAGGTAAGCTAAGTGGATGATGTTGATGGTTCAAGGTGGTGTTGATGGGTTTGGCTGACTACCCGGGCAGATTCAGATGAAAAGCCTCAGACCTAACGAGACCAATAGGTGCCTCTTGGGCTCAGGTTAACAGACCGGCCGATTTTGCACCAAACTTGTTAGACGAGGGCACATCTAACAAAGATAAATCTAGGGTTTTTTAGATAAAAAGAGGCGAAAACTGAGGAGAGATTAGGAGGAAGAAGGATAGTGAATTTTTTTGTTTTTTTATTAGGGATCGGGTAGTGAATTTGATCAAAAGATCAATTTGCGCTAGAGGGGAACCTGTGTTAGAGCTCAGAAAAGGAAGAGAGGAGAAGAAAGACGAGAGTTCAGAGAAGAACAGAGATGAACCACACACACACACACACACAGATATATATACACACACACACGTACCTGGGTTATTTTGCCTGTGAAGGTGAAACTCGCGAAATTTGGGCTTAGAGGATTAGATCCAAGCAAAAGAACGAAGACGAAATAGGAAAAAATTACCATCTGAAGCTCGGTGCACAGTAGAATCGCCTCCGAATTGCCCTAGGGAGGGTTGATCTCGGTTTGCTTCTCAGATTTGTGGCAAATATTTGGAAATATTGCTACAAGTATTTGGGCCACTAATGGGCTACAGTGCAGAAGCATTTTACTGCTACAGTTGTGGAAGCAACAAGAAGCATCAAAATGATGCTTCTAAAAATAGGCCCAATAATGGAAGTGTTTCAGCAGTGTTTGAAAGCGTAGCAGATTTCATCAAACATGCTTTGGGCAGAAATTTCGCTACAGTTACTGGCCCAAAGCAAAAAACAAGTGGCAGAAGCAGCCACCAAACAGGCCCTTATTTTTCCTGAATTGTACAAACCTCTCTTTCTATCTCCCAATGAAACATATTTTCCATACATGTGTTTTTAGCACTAAATAAATAAATGCATGTGGTTGATTATGAATCAAAAGCAGCAGCTATAGGAACTCAAATCTGAATTAAAAGCATCTGAACTCAAATGATGCTGGCCAGCTAAAAATTGATGTAAACGTCTTAGGTTATCTTTATGGTTGGAAACAAGAGTCCTCACCTCGTAAAACATCACTGTAATTGGACACATTCAGTAATTTACTGTGTCGTAAAGGATCATTGCAGTCGGTCACATTCAGTAATTGTTTTAAGCTGTTATAGGATAAATGGGTAGAATGAGTCACTGTCTGCAGTATCAAAGGTAAATGCTGCTGGCCAGCTAACAAGTGTTCTCTCTCTCTCTATAGATATATATATATATATATATATATATATATATTTATGAATGGATTGACATGTTTTCTTGGTACTGAGGCTGTGTGTTGTAAATTCTGGTTTTATTATTCATTTACCCGGAAGAGCAAGCTTATGGAAAGCTCATGGTCCAAAAAAATCTATCCCGAACCAATTGAGTCCTCACCCACTGAGCCAAAAGATTATGTTTATGGTTGGAAACAAGAGTCCAAATATGCTGGGAGGCAACGTGTAAGCTGAAAAAGTATTCTTCTGCATGATTAGCTACTTAAAGAAAAACACAGTCCTAGTAATAGAAATAGAAAATGGAACTTTAAACCTGGATTAATAGACCATAAAATAATGCACTTGCCATCAAATATCACCATCTTTTGTTATGAGAGCTTGGTAATGCTCTTCATCTTCTTTGTGTTCTTTTTAGTCCAGTTCATATGTATCTCAAACTCATAAAACAAACTTTTTTATTTTATTTTATTTTTCTGGTTAGTAAAATACTAAAACAACTTATATTCACATAATTATCAGAACAACATAATTGCAATCTTTCACAAATTTTTTTGAAGAACCGAAAACACAAAAAAAGAAGAAAAGAAGAAAAAATTACTAAGATGAAGCGCTCATGTAAAGGGCTACCAAGGAGGCATAAAAACCATCCTTGATATTGATCAGAGCATCGTGTTTCCCTTTCTCCACGATGACTCCATTTTTAACCACCAGAATAACATCTGCATTCTTGATGGTGAACAATCGATGTGCCACCACCACTGTAGTTCGGTTCACCATGACTAATTACATTTAGGCCTTTTTGGTATTTAATGGTTACCAATTTTAGATTACTAGAGATAGAGATTTTGAATGAAGTTAGAATTATGAACTTTTCAAACCGCGGTTTGAGTAGTGGTTGCATATTTTAGGTAATTATTTTTTCTTAGACAATTTTATCCTTTTTTATTTTTTACAAAGACAATCCCAGCCATTCTTTTATAAAGTTAATATTATATATCAAATATAGTTGATATTGTATTTAAGGATATTATTGTAAAATTAATTTAATTATAAAGAGAACATGTCATCAAACACCTATTATATTTTTCACCAAATGTAATTTTTTTACCGCTCTAGTTGCAAAAGCGCTTCTTTTTTCTAACAGCAACGCCAAACGAATTCTTACACTGCGTTGTGTTGTATGGTCAAACCAACACATCCCCATTCACGCATGTATTGTAATCTAATGCAGTTTATTAACCGTTTCTAACCAATCCTCAACCATAGGTTATGTTAAATAAACGAAATTTTGTACTTTACATATAATCTTTACACTAAGATATTCACGTTAGTCTAACGTGATACACATAAACACCCAACTATAAATTAAAAGGGAGGTATATCTATTTGCTGTGAAAACTTGAATGATAGGGTGTATACAAAATTGAAGATAATGCATTATATACTAAAATAGCCTTAAAAAAAAAAAAAAAAAAAAAAAAAAAAAAAAAAAAAAAAAATTTCCAATTCATATTTATTAAATATCTTATGATTAAATCAAGCATGCATGACAACCTTTTTCTTTTATCAATTTGACATGGAACTGCCACACAACCCAAACTTCATTCTTCGTTATCAAAGAGAAAATCATGTTGTTAAATATTGTTGTATATTGTTAAATTTGCACATTATTTTTAACATATAGTAGTCAAATTCACTAGCATGCTCTATTAATATGTATTTCTTTGCTCATATTATCATCTCTCTATTCACTAACATGCTTCTAATGAGATTCGAATTATTAAAAACCTTGATAGTACCTTGTAACAACTCTTTCTTTTATGAATAACAATGTTTTGAGGCACTCAAAAATCAAAATCTAGGGCTAAAAACACACTCTCTCACACACACACTTTCCCTCTCTTCATGTGATGAGTCTGAATATGAAATGGCATTGTCCATTGGTATTTGAAGGGCACATCATTGTCCTATTAGCTTTAGGGACCTCTGGCGAATGCTATGAAGAAAAGTGTTAACACCTAAAATATAATTCGAAGCAATTAGGCCACGTGGTCAGAAATCACGAGGCCTGAACTTTGGGTCAACCCATGATCATCGAGGCGAAAGATTAATTTCTAATCATGGTGATCAGATTTAAGGTCGGAAATTAAAAAGAATGGAATTCTTAGGCCATTAAGACTGAGATGAGGTTTTGAGCTCATAACCGGCCATGATTAATTCTCTCAGAGTCACTATGGCCATGATCCAAAGTCTCATAACCAGTTATGATCAAGATTCTCTCAGTCACAATGGTCATGCGACCCTCAGTCACAATGGTCATGATCATGAATCTCAACCAAGACTCTCAGTCACAATGATCATGAGACTCTCAGTCATAATGGTCATGATCTTGAATCTCAACCAAGATTCTTAGTCACTATGATTATAACCAAGACTCATAGCCAACTATGGCCATGGTTAGGAGTCTCAGGCATTTATCTCTCAATCATTATGACCTAAGAAAGTTTCTCGATCAACCAGGGTCGAGAATCTCTACTAATGATCGAGAGTACGCCCAATTGATGGACAAGCTCAGATTAAGATGGATCTAATATTTCTTCAGGTCATAATCACTTGAAGAATCTTTGATATGATTCAAATGAAGACCGGCTGTGAATCCCAATATATTAAGAACCCAACAAGTCAGGTCTAGAAACGTAAAGAAAGTTTGAAAATAAAAAATGACGACTTGACTATGTCAGAGGTCCAGAGATTCAGAACTACAGATGGAAGGTTCTCACCTACATCTAATGAGGAAGGTCAGAATTGTCAGTAATCAAATGATTCAAAGCCAATGCACAGATCAAGCTAGACATGACAGGTGCATAGAGCTAAAAACGGCTTGAAGACCAAAATCATTAAGCATGAAAGAATATGCACCATTTAGTCAAAAAATACTATGTCAGACACATTTATATCTGTCCATAGAGAGATGTGCAAGTCAGTCAACCTGACCAGCTTAGCAAGATGGTTAGGAGAAGTCATTTTCAGCTTACAACCAATTAATTTCTAGAGAAACGATTTGAAAGGGATAACACCAGATGGAGGCTTCTATAAATACCCACTCAAGTTTCACAAAGAGGAGGTCCAGCACCATTTCTAAAGTTCAACCTTTAGCATTCGTATCACTTAGCACTTAGTTTTAATTTGCTCAAGTTCAGTTTATCACTATCAATTTAGTATTTAGTTCATCTTTCAGCATTTAATATTTTAGTTGCCATTTCAATCAAGAGTTTGTACTTCATTCATCATGGTAATCAGTCAAGTTCAATGAAGAAAGATTTGCAAATTAGGGTATATTTATTATTCAATTAATTTGCTTATAATTGATATTTATCTTGAATGTTTAAAGTCCTTTCTTAAAGGCAATAACAACCTTAAGAAGAGGGTCATTCCTACTCTCCAACTTTCGCCTGAATCACATTAGGTTGGCGACCCAACCCGATAGAAATAGTTTGGCAAGAAATATTCGAGTCCATCAGGACTCTGGCACGTCCGCGTTTTAGGTCAGCCATTCATTGGCTAGCGACCTCAGACCACTTTGCGAGCCAAACAAAAAGAAACCAACTAGTAAAGCTACCTATTTTTAGTCTCAAGAGTAAATACTAAGAGAGGCTTCATTACTATCACCCTTTACCTTTTGACCATTATATACACACACACACACAATACCCTTCCTCACCTTTTTTTTTTTAGTTTGAAATTTTAGTTTTATGTTGATTATGGTTTTTTTTATAAAAAAAATTCAAACAAATTTCATTTTGATTGATTTATCTAATTTGACTGATGTTACCAAGACATTGTAATTTGAGGTATTTCCAGTTTGTTATGTTTCAGAATCTAACGTTTACTCTCATCTTGTACAGGCTTACTCTTGTTGGTAATATTTTTCAGTCAATAATTATTTTGTTTAACATCAGTGTTTGTTTCGGAAAGAAACATTAGTTCAACTACTGCAAATATTTAGTATTTACACTCACGTCGGGCTTCGAGTCTTCTTTCCAGAGTTGCTGAGTTTGCTCAATTTGGAGTTCCGAGTAAAAAGTTATGCCCAAAATACTGAAGCGGGTTCAGAGTTTTCAGCCATGCTCGAACCCGAAGTGGTGGTGCTCGAGCCTTAAAGCTCGGACTCAAGCTCTGGGAGCAAAATTGTTTCGAAACGTCTTTTTGTTGATGGTGCTCGATCTTCTTTTCATGGTGCTCGATCCCAAGGTGTTGGGCTCGAGCTTTGAGGCTGTAGGCTCGAGCTCTAGGTGTTAGTGCTCGATCCCTGA